CTCCTCTTCTTCTTCTTCTTCTTCTTCTTCTTCTTCTTCTTCTTCTTCTTCTTCTTCTTCTTCTTCTTCTTCTTCTTCCTTCTGGTGAACCTTCTGGTGATCCATGGCCCAAAGGATATCTGGCTGTCCCCAGGGCTTTTTTGGCCCTGACTCTGGCCAGGCAAAACTCTGCCTAATGACATCCGTGCCCCGAGGGACCTAAAACAGTTCCACAGGGCCTGTAAGTCAGAAACCATTTCCTCAGTAATAAAATTCCCCGCATTGAAGTTTTTAAAACTGCGTGTTATGTGAAATTTTTTGCAGTAGATCTTTTCTCACCAGGCACAAACCCGAATTTTTCTCCTTCTTATCTTGTGTTTCTGGAACTCACTAAAACTGGGGATTCCAAAAACATGCCATTTTAAAAATTTCAATGCGGGGAATTTCACTACTGCGGAAATGGTCAGCGTTGTTCCACTAGGTCTATGGTTGAGGAGAGCAACGGTTTACCATCAAACGTGGACTCCCCCTCTCCTCCCCTAAGGGAGGATACATAATGTCTAATGGCATCTGATTGAATTCTGGTTACTACTGGTTTATTGTTTTAAAGTTTTAATCAGTATTTATATATTCATTGTATTTATTAGATTTGTATTTATAAATTGTTATTAGCCACCCTGAGCCCCATTGGGGGGAGGGTGGTATATAAAGCAAATTAACAACCACCACCCCTAGGGAGGAGGGTCATTAACCATTACTGGACGTATGCCAAACAAAAGAAAAAAGTCTTCACCTACTGGTGGAATGTTCCACTTGGCCTGAATTTGTTAAAAAAATGGCGTGGATGGGGGATCCCAAACAGTTTTGCTCAAGAACTCGAATTGTTACCATTGCTACTTCAGTTGCAACTATATTCTCTTTTTTGTAAAATGTGACTCCATGGGCATTTTTTGCTGTTTCACCGCAGACCTACGTCCGTGATATTTATCCATTCCGACGATCAGTATCCCCCCAGTTGAACCTGGTCCACATGCATCCAGAGAAGGGTCAGGAGCTCATTCAGAAACAGGTATCCCACTACCAGAGACCTTTTGCGGCCAAACGCCCAGAGAAACAGCTTTGTATTTTCCTTTCACAGGTTGCATTCCGAGAAGGAGATCACAAAAAACAGCTGTGTGCAAATCAGCGACCTATTGGATGAAAAGGGGTGAATAATTTAGACTGGAATATTGGGACACTGAAGAAAGGAGATTGCAGAGTGTTAGATGATGTGTTGTATCATTGTAAAGAGTTTTAAAAACCATCGAGGCATTATTTAAAGTACCGGGCCCCCGGAAACCGAGCCCTATGCGGGACTTGGGAATATTCAGTCTGGAGAAGAGGAGGTTGTGGGGGGACATTGTGTTCCCTCTAAGCTGAGTTATCGTGAGCTATCTCACAGTTTTTTAGCCTCTGGCTCACACATTTTGGTCTTAGCTCAGGAAGGGAGGGCTCCAGAATAAACTAATTTATGCAGTAGCCAAATGGCTCGCTCACAACTTTAATGCCAGGAGCTCACAAAGTAGAATTTTTGCTCACAAGACTCCACAGCTTAGAGGGAGCATTGAGGGACATAATTGCTCTCTTTGGGCGTTTTTGCACACATTAAATAGCACACTTTCAATCCACTTTCAATCCACTTTGCAACTGTATTTTACTGTGTGAAATGGCAAAATCCATTTGCGAATGGTCGCTGAAATGGATTGAAACGGCATCGTTTAGCTTGTGTGAAAGTGCCCTTTAAGTATTTGAAGGGCTGTCACCGAGAAACAGGGAGCTGTTTCTGTGGGCAGCAGAGGAGAGGACTCGCAAGAATGAGCTTGAATTAAGGGTGGGAAGGTACCGGATGGATCTTAGGAAAAACTTTTTGAAAGTCAGAGTTTTTGCCACAGTAGAACCAGCTGCCTTGGGAGGCGGCGAGCTCCCCCTCCCTGGCAGTCTTCAAGCAGCGGCTGGACGAACCCTTGTCAGGGATGCTCTAGGCCGATCCTGCATTGAGCGGGGGGTTGGACTAGATGGCCTGTGTGGCCCCTTCCAACTCTGGATTCTGTGTGTTTGTTTGTGTGTGTTTTGTCAGGGTTTGTGTGATAGCCAATGTCATCTAACGGTGTTGTTGACTTGACTTTCATTTGCAGTTTGCCACTGATTGTTTAGGGCTGCTAGGTCTTCCCTGGCCACCGGTCACTGGGGTAGGGTTGCCAACTCAGGGTTGGAGATTTGTGGGTGGATCCTGGGGAGGGCAGGGACCTTGGGGGGGGGTACAATGCCACAGAGTCCATCCTCCAAAGCCTCCATTTTCTCCAGGGGAACTGATCTCTGTAGTCTCCAGGTGAGTTATAATTCTGAGGGATCCCTAGGTCCCACCTGGAGGCTGGCATCCCTAGCTTGGTTGTTATTGGTACGTTTTGGGGTGGTTGTTGTTGTTTTGAATGGAAATCTGTTCGTTTTAATTTGCATACTATTCTTACAGCGGTTTATTTTTTCCAACAAAGTGCAGGAAGGAAAGAATTTATGAGCAGACTCTGTTCCAATGTGCTTGCTCTCACAGAACCTCAGGTTCTCGGATACAGGAACTGATGCTTCAGGATGTGCAATGTACAGGGGTCGTTTTGTAGAAAAAGAGCTAGGGGAACTCATTAGCATAACTCATTAGCATATGCCACACCCCCTGACATCACTGGAAGTGTGTCATAAGGCCACACCCCCTGACATCACCGGAAGTGTGTCATAAGGCCACACACCCCGCCCCCAAAAGTCCTGGCCGCCACCGCCGGCCTTGCAGCTCCACTGCCGAGCCCCATGAGGGGCCCGGTAATGGACCTGCAAGGCCGGTGGGAGTGCAAGGAAGCCCCGCGAAGGCCCTCCCTGGCCCCAGGCAGGCAGGGGTGGGGAGAGGCAGGGAGGAAGCAACTTACCCTCCCTCTTCTCCTGCCTCCTCCTGGCTGAATGAGGGCCGGAAGCGGGGCGGCCGGAAGCAGGGGGTGGGGCTTCGTCATGTGCCCCGCCCCTCGTACCTCACCTGGGAGAACTGCGATCCCCCCTGAAATGACCTCTGGCAATGTATATATTTTTAAAAAAATTATTTCATATATAAAGACGAACAAATAGACAAACATACATAAATACATATAAAGGGGAATTCCCTTTGTGTCATTTTTATAACAGTCCTTGACCTCATACTACAGACAAACAGTTTAAATTTTTTATCCACCTTATAATTCCAATATGTCTCTTGTACTAGAATTTTAGTATATAGTTCTTATTTCCTTTTGTTTCGGTTAAGAGCCCAGGAATTTTCTGTTATCCATTCATAGAACTTTGACCACGTGTCCTCAAAATCGTCTTTATCGTTCCCTCTCAAAATTACAGTCATTTTATCCATCTCAGCTGTTCCCAGTATTTTGCTTATAACTTCTTTTGAGGGAAACATTTTGGTTTTGAATTGCTGCATAAATACTTCAATAGTATGAACGTGTATCAGCACAAGGATGACAATTTCGAGCTGCCTTCTGTTTCATCTACTCAGCCTACTGGATTCAGGAGTAGATCCTGTTTAACTAGATGTAAGAAATGGCCGTCTGGTTTTCTATGTGCGTGTGAGTGTGTGTGCCTGTAACAGAGAGGGGGCTGTCACCCATTTCTCCCTTCTCTTAGGTGTTTACGCGCAAGCTAGAGGAAGTGGGCCGGGTGCTGTTCCTCATTTCTTTGACTCAGAAGATCCCCGCAGCTCACAAGCAGTCCCATGTGTCTCTGCTCCAAGAGGACCTCCTGCGCTTGCCCTCTTTCCCACGCAGCGCCATCGATGCGGAGTTCTCCCTTTTCAACGACCCACAAGGTACCAGAAGGAAAGTTTCTCCCCGAGCGGCCAAGGGCTCATTTCAGCAGAGGAAGGGGTGGCTCCTACCCCTATCCTCCCACACTATGGAGCAAAATTTCTTTATTTATTCAATTATTTATTTTTTTAAAAGGAAAATATATCCCACCTTTTCTTTTGAGTCAAGTTTGAAGTCCTCTTCCAGTCCAAGGAGTCTTCCTCCGATGTTGGTGGCTCTTCTGTTAGAGGAAAAGCCACTTGCATTGGAGGAAGACAACTTAGGCCCTTTCTGCACTCTCCTTTTAATCCATGTTCACTGAGGCATCCTCCAAGCAATTCTGCACTAAAATCCAATTCCTTTTAAAACCCAGGGTTCCCCCCCCCCCCCATTCTGCACTAAAATTGAGTTCAACCTTCTTTTTATTCTGGGTTTTGCCCTCACTCTGCATGACATCACTTCTCTTCAGTGGTCAGCCCAGTTGCCCCGGGATATTTGGATGCTGTTTTGCCCTGGACTTAAATTGCCTCGATTCAAACACAGAGAAAATCCGGAGTGGCAGGCAAATGCGGAAAGGACCTTACATTCGGAGTCAAACCATGGCTGATTTCACACATGTTGGATAATACTCTTTTAATGGCCTTTAGTAATTGTTTGCAGCTGGATTTTCTTGTATGAGACGCTGGAAACCTGCGTGCAAACAATTGCTGAAGTGCCTTGGAAGTGCATTATCTGATGTGTGAGGAAGCATTCTATCTATTCTTTCTGTGTGTCATCTTCTGGATAATTGGGCTAAATAGTTCAATTATTGGCTTATTTTTGTTCAGAATTCCTTTTATCTCTTTTGCGATGAAGTACTCCCTGACTTTTGAACTATGGTGAACTATGGTGCTGGAGAAGACTCTTGAGAGTCCCTTGGACTGCAAGAAGATCAAATCAGTCAATCCTAAAAGAAATCAACCCTGACTGTTCCCTGGAAGGCCAGAGACTGAAGCTGAAGCTCAAATACTTTGGCCACCAAATGAGAAGGGAGCACTCACTGGAGAAGACCCTGATGCTGGGAAAGATTGAAGGTCAAAGAAGACGGGGACGGCAAAGGATGAGATGGTTAGACAGTGTCATAGATGCAACGAACATGAAATTGAGCAAACTTCAGAGGACGGCAGAAGACCGGAAGGCCTGGCGTGATTTGGTCCATGGGGTCGTGAAGAGTCGGACTTGACTTTGCGACTCAACAACAACAAAAATTCCCTGACCAATCCCTGACCTTCTTACTCTGCGTAACTTGCTGAGTTTTACCCCCCGGTTCTTCTGACCACTGCACTGGTTTCGGTCTACATCCACTCTGTCTTCGTTCAGTCTTCCAGAATTTATTATTGCTTGGTTGGATGTTCATAGACAACTTGAAACCAAATGTTAAATGGTCACAGGAAGAGTACTTTGAGGATGGTCAAATCCATCCCAGTGTCATTGTGTTTCTTGAATACTGTGAAATACTAGCTGATAGAATAAGTGTAACATTTAATGATACGGTGGTGGTGGGAAGTGACGTCAAGTCACAGCCGACTTATGGCAAATACCTAGGGCAGGGGTGTCAGACATAAGGCCCAGGGGCCGGAACTCGCCCATCCAGGGCTCTTATGTGGCCCGCGAGCAACTAGTGCAAGGGAGGGAACAGGAGACTGCTTGGGAGGGGAATGGGCGGAGCCACTCTGATTGTGGCTTCCCGCATGGCGGAACAAACCCGTCTGCAGCAGTCAAGGAGCATGGGAGGGTCTGCTCAGTGCCGCACCACTGGCTCTCCAGTCCGCCCATGTGGGTTTTCCTTTGCACCCCCCTCCCAGCCCATGGGGCCTTGCAGTGAGGACACACCAACTCGGAGCTTATGAGCTGCTGTCCTTTATACAGTCTATATCTCTGGTACCTGGCGTTACATTTTATGGCACATGTGGCTCAGCCCAACAAAGGGACATTTATGGCAGATCTGGCCCTCGTAACAAATGAGTTCGACACCTCTGCCATAGGGTTTTCAAGACAAGAGATTTTCAGAGGTGGTTTGCTGTTGCCTGCTTCTTTGGTGGTCTCCCATCCAAATACTAACCAGGGCTGACCCTGCTTAGCTTCTGAGATCTGGCAAGATTGGGCTAGCCTGGGCCGTCCAGGTCAGGACAGTGGTATAGTGATAATGAAATAAATGCCAGGTGAAATATGTAAAATTAAACAAAGGACCCAGTTGCCAAGCCAGTATTGCCTGTCACCAAAGCAGTTATTAATGACAACTGAACTCCTCCCCCCTGCCCTATAAATTCATCTACAGGGGTGGCAGATCACCCAGAAGGTTTTCTTTTGATCTCACAAAAAAGTCTCCTCAGGAGGAAGGTGTTGAGTTTGTGTCTGATCTTGCTGTCCTTGTCTTTCCAGCTGGAAAAGAGCTCTTTGGCCTTGACACCCTTCAGAAAAGCTTGTGGATTAAACTCCTGGAGGAGATGTTCCTGGGGATGCCCAGTGAATTTCCCTGGGGGGACGAAATCATGCTCTTCTTGAACGTCTTCAACGGAGCCCTGATCCTGCACCCGGAGGACAGTGCGCTGTTGAGGCAGTATGCGGCCACGGTCATCAACACAGCCGTGCACTTCAACCACCTCTTTTCCCTCAGTGGGTATCAGTGGATCCTTCCCACGATGCTTCAGGTGAGTCGCCCATCAGAGACCGATGAGTGGGGCTGACAGGCCAGTAGGCCAGTTCCGCTAGAATGGAAGGCCTGCTAAGTTGCCTTGAAGCACCCTGGTATGGAAAGTGTGTGTGCTTCTTCTTCTAGAAGGGTTGCCAGCCTCCAGGTGTGGCCTGGAGGAAGGACTCCAGACAGGGTCACTCTCCACGGGCAGCACCCGGCAGATGAGCTGAGCTATGGGATTTACTACCTTTCCATAGGGCTTGTAAGGCAGAGATGTTCCACCAGGCATTTAGCTGAGGACAGCAATGGTCTGGCACTCTCACACCCCCACCTCCCCCCTTTGCTCCATATTTCCCCTCCATCCAGGGGGAACGTTAGGGTTGCCAGGTCTGGGTTGGAAAATATCTGGAGACTTTGAGGTGGATCCGGGAGAGGGCGGGGTTTCGGAAGGGGAGGGGCCTCAGCATGGTCCAATGCCACGGAGTCCACCCTCCAAAGCAGCCATTTTCTCCAGGGGAGCTGATCTCTGTCAGCTGGAGAATGGTTGTAAAAGCTGGAGATCCCCAGGTCCCACCTGGAGGCTGGCAACCCTAGGACAGGTAGATACTGAAATTATCCATCATCTTTTAATGAACTAGATGACGCCTAGATGACCGAAGAATGTATGCTGTCAAGTTAGGTTGACAAATGGAACTCATCTTGGACTAATAAGACTTAACATCAAGAGCACCGCACTTTGTTTCATGATTGTTTTTATGCTGTTTTAATTGTTTGTTATGGCATTTGCCTCTGTTGTTAGCCACCCTGAGCCCATTTGGGGAGGGCGGGATATAAATCCAATAAATAAATTAATATATAATGTTGTTTTAATTTTCTTATCTATTGTATTTGCCATTGGTGTAAGCTGCCCTGAGCCCTGTTTCAGGGAAGGTTGGCCTAGCAAATTGAAACAAACAAACAAACATATAAACAAATTAGTTCTGCCACCAGGAGGAGGGACCTCGTTCCAATCCCGCCTGCTCCACAGTCTGACCCTCCTCAGATTCTGTTTCCTAGACCTTTTTATTGACCTCTCTTTCTAGGATCGCCATCCTCCAAATGGGTGTGGAAACTCGAGCTGCAGTGTGAGAAGCGTCAAACAACAAATATATACACTGCAAAAACCTTTTTTATAAGTTAAAGTGTGCTATATGTTCCATCTTATAAAGTGCATTGTGTATTATTCATAATATTCTAAAACAGGTACATTGTTTGTCGCTGGTCCTACAAGAGCCTTGAGAAAGACAGGAGCACTCCGTCTATGAATGTCAGCTGCTTAATGGGCCTTTTGTAGGACCAGCAACAAACATCAATTTAAACTTCAATGTAGCCACAAAAGGAAACTTCCCCCTTTAGAAGACTTTCAAGCAAGGAGAAGCGGGCGTACAATTCTAGAAACTCCCATTGGGGTTGATTGTGTAAAAAGGGTGTAAATTCACTGGTAGCTATTAGATTGTACAAACTGATTATTATTGTTGATATTGCATGTCATGAATATATATACCTGTTTTAGAATATTATGAATAATACACAATGCACTTTATAAGATGGAACATATAGAACACTTTAACTTATAAAAAAGTTTTTTGCAGTGTATGTATTTGTTGTTTGAATCCTCCAAATGGGGCCTGGAGAGACCCTGGGATTACAAATCTCCAGGCTACAAAGAAATCGGCTGCTTCAGAGTAGGGACGCCAGCCTCCAGGTGGGACCTGGGGAGCCCCTGGAATTACAGCCCATCTCCAGACTACAGAGATCAGTTCCCCCTGGAGAAAATGGGTGCTTGGGAGGGTGGACTCTGTGGCATTGAACCCCCACTGGGGTCCCAGTCCTCCCCAGGCTCCACCCCCAAATCTCCTGGAGCTTTCCAACCTTGATCTGGCAACCCTACTCCCTATCCCCCCCTGGTGGCCAGGAGGGACATGACCAGCCTACTTCAGAGTGTGAACTCTATGGCATTACACCCCAGGCAAAGACCCTCCTCTCTCCACTCCCTCCCATCCTTAGGCTCTGCCCCCATATTTCCAGGAATCTCCCAATCCACAGTTGGCAACCCTATGGACTACCCTCATTTACGATTTCTGATGGCAATAGAAACATGATGACACTTCTTACCTCATGTCATTTATGGGCAATGGCCACATTGTAATTTTGTAGGAACAAATAGAATCATAGGATCACAGAGTCAGAAGGGGTCCTAAAGGCCATCTAGTCCAACCCCCCCTGCTCAATGCAGGATCAGCCTAGAGCCTCCCTGACAAGGGTTTGTCCAGCCGCTGCTTAAAAGGCTGCGAGTGAGGGGGAGCTCACTACCTCCCTAGGCAGCCGATCCCACTGTGGCACAACTCTGTCAAAAAGTTTTTCCTAATATAAAATAGCATCATGTCATCCCAACAAGAGAAGAATGGCCACATGTGAATTTTCAGTGGCTTTTTATTAATATTGTGGTTTTTAATTGCATACTACCTTGAGCAGGATTCTGAAGACATGGCACAGGAGTATAAGGAAGGAAGGAAGGAAGGAAGGAAGGAAGGAAGGAAGGAAGGAAGGAAGGAGAGGGAGAGAGAGATAATAAATTTATGAGGAGAATGGGAAAGAGAGAGCTTGCCCACCCATGTCTGAGTGCTGGGACCTGTGAGACTTTTGAGCATGATTTAGCAAACGGCTATTTGGTCAAGGAGTACTTTTCGGTGTTCTGTTAACCCCCCCCCCCCAGGTATACGCCGACTACGAAAGAATTTTTTTTGGTCAAGGGGTTCTTTTCGGTGTTCTTTTAACCCCCCCCCCCCAGGTATACGCCGACTACGAAAGCAACCCCCAGCTACGTCAAGCAACTGAGTTTGCCTGTCGCCAGTTTTACATTCTGCATCGTAAGCCGTTTGTGCTGCAACTATTTGCCAGCGTGGCTCCGCTCCTGGAGTTTCCTGTGAGTAAAAATAGGTTTCCTATTGTGGTTTTTATATGCTTTATTCGGGGCAATTGGGGTACCTGAATCCTGCCCTGTTTATTGCTGGTTGCACACCTTGTATTGTACTAGTTTCATTCCCTATTATTATAGACAGTACTGACCTTGATGGATCAACAGTCTGATTCAATATAAGGCAGCTTCATAGGTTCATGTGTTCATTTGCTACTTCCAACTTCCTAAAGTTGTCTGGCTCAGTTTAGACATAGCTCTGCTTCTGAAGTTTCTTCTGCCTTAGAGTACATAAGAACTAACGAGAAGCCATGTTGGATCAGGCCAATGGCCCATCGAGTCCAACACTCTGTGTCTCACAGTGGCCAAAACCCAGGGGGCATCAGGAGATCCACCAGCTGGGCCAGAACTTCAGAAGCCCTCCCACGGTTGCCCCCCAAGTACATATTAGTAGAAGTGTGTTTTGTTCTATCACGGTGTTTCTTTATGTTCGTCTAACTTTGCCGTGTTCCCTGTGTGTTTGTAGTTACAGTCAAGTGGGCCTGATGTTCTCTCCTATTGGCATGAAAATAAGCCTCCCTCCGCCGGCCCCCTCACCCCTGATCGATCTTCTCCCCCCTCCCCGGCTCCAGACGGCTGGGCTCAGGGCAAAGACAGCCCAGGCAAGCAAGCGGGCGGTGGGGTTTGGCCCTGGGTCGGCTTCCACTGGGCTGGGAGGGCTGGGGTCTGGTCAGACGCTTCTTGCTGGGCACTGCACAGGTGAGTGGCGAGCCAGGGACTCTGACCTGGGCCACTGGCGGCGAGGCGATTTGCACCCACCGCGGGCGGGGCGGGGCAAGGCAGGAGGGAGGCCAGCCATGCCACCCCCATGAGGAAGGCCAGCTGACCTGAGGCGGCGGAGGCTGTGGGTGGGGCACCAAGCACTTCTTCCGGCAGGGGGGGACAGGACTCAGGTGGGCTGGCACAGCAGGATGCGACTGGGTGGCGAGGGGTGGGCAGGGAAAGTGGCCAGCAACAACTGGCCTCCAGATGTGGCGTGGGAGGCTTCCGCTGGGTCCTACCTTCCGTGCATTCCCAGCAGGCGGAAGGGAGGCCGGCTTGGCGTGGGGGGCAGGCAGGGGGGTCGGAATGGTCGAGGGCTGGCTGGGAAAACAGAGACAGGAGGGTGGTGGGGGTCATAGAATAGCTCCAGCATCTCACCCCATCCCTTTGGGGAATCCAGGAGGGATTCTTTTAGGAGCAACGATGGAAGGAGCTGCTGGCTGGAGGCACCGGGCCATTCTTGTCCCGTCCGGGTACTAAACAGGCCACGCATGGCTGGGTGGGAGGGAACAGCGAACAGCTCATTCTGCACACCTCTTCCTCCTCCCAACCTCTCCGCGCGCCCCCGGGCCACGACAAAGGCCGGGTGAGCCGAGATCACAGGCACAGTCCCGAGGGCACCTCCGCTGCCCCCTCCTCCCCGGCCTTAGACTCCCTCGCCTGCCTCGGCCAGCAAGGGAACAGCACAAGCCGGGCCGCATTCCTCGACCCAAGCCACTAAGCAGCACCTCGCTTATTCTGCCCCCCCCCCAGGTAACTGCCGGCTCCCCCTTGGCCCCCTCTCCCCAAAATCCCTAGCTATGGGGCTGCATCTTTATTTTGTGGACTAATAGCCATTCATGGACCTATGCTCAATGTAAGAACATAAGAGAAACCATGCTGGATCGGGCCAATGACCCATCCAGTCCAACACTCTGTGTCACACAGTGGCCAAAACCCAGGTGCCATCAGGAGGTCCACCAGCGGGGCCTGAACACCGGAAGCCCTCCCACTCTTGCCCCCCAACCACCAAGAATACAAAGCATCACTTGCCCAACCCTGAGAGTTCCTATCTATACCTTGTGGTTAATAGCCACTGATGGACCTCTTCTCCATATGTTTATCCAATCCCCTTTTGAAACTGTCTATGCTTGTAGCCGCCACCACTTCCTGCAACAGTGTGGGTATCGTGGTCTTGGGTTTGGGTGTTTCTATTCAACACACGGAGCTAACATAAACATACCGTATTCAAGGCTGCTGCTTTTATGTAATGCAGTCACACCTCCAAATAAGGCTCTCTCTTCCTCCGGAACTATTAAACAAAATGTAAACAGAACCTGACAAATCAGAAATGCATTTTTGTTTTAAATACAGGATGCGGCCAGCAACGGACCGAGCAAAGGGGTGTCAGCTCAGTGTCTCTTTGACTTGCTGCAGTCCTTGGAAGGAGATACGGTGGACAATCTGGACATTCTAGAATTGGTGAAAGCAGAAAAGCCTCTGAAGTCTTTAGGTATTTCTATTTCATCTCCCTATAATACGTCTTGACTGCCGTTTTGGAAAATGCTTCAGTTTCAGCTTTTTAAAATGGGGGACAACGTAGATGGTAGGGCTGGAAAATTGAACCCAAGGGAAGAGCAGGATGCTTGTGGCATGAAACTGACCAGAGGAGGTGCCAAGGGGAAAGCAGGCCGAAGGCCAAGCCTCAGATGTGGTCTAGGAACGGGAGGAGATGGACAGGTAAGGAAGGCTTGTGGGGCAGGAAGCCAAGGGAGCATAGGTTAGTTAAACCTACTGCCTAGATGGGGGTCCCCCAACCTTTTTTGAGCCTGTAGGCACTTTTGGAATTCTGACACACAGGATGGAGGGCACAACCACAAAATGGTTGCCAGATTCGGCGGAGCCCATGTTCAAAGGGGAAACAGGAGAGAAGGAGAATGAAGCCTTACTGCTGCTGAAACAATATTATTTCAATCTGCATAGCCTATTGAATCTCCAATCAGAAGGCCTACTGGGCAACCCATTTGGCCCCACCCACTTTCTTAAAAACACACGGTGGACACCAGGAAGAGTGCCGGCAGGTGCCACAGTGCCCACAAGCACTACGTTGGAGACCTCTGGCCTAAATCTTAACAAGCAGACTGCCATAGCCTTAAGAGTTTAACAGAAGGGGAATCCTGCCTGTCTGGAGTTCTTCTACCCCTGCAGCACTATGAGCTAATAGTCCTAAGAGTGAGTTTGGTGTAGTGGTTAAGTGCGCGGACTCTAATGTGGGAGAACCGGGTTTGATTCCCCACTCCTCCACTTGCACCTGCTGGATGACCTTGGGCAAGCCGAAGTTCTGTCAGAGCTGTCCTTGAAAAAGAGCAGTTTCTGTCAGAGCTCCCTCAGGCCCGCCTACCTCACAGGTTGTCTATGGTGGGGAGGGGAAGGGGAAGGAGTTTGTAAGCCACTCTGTAGTTTTAATTAATCAGCCAGCTCCTTGGATGCAGGCTTCCCGGTGCTTCCCCCCAAAAGAAATTTAGGTTAGTAGTCCAACCAAGATGGGTCAGATTCTTTTTTCTCATGCTACTTTCTTTTAACCAGTGCTGTGGAACTAACCAGGAACTGAGACTGAAAGAGAGTGCTTTGCCCGTGTCATGGCACAGAATGTCCGGCTAAGTCCTATGGCATCGCACCGGTTAAGTGTGCGGACTCTAATCTGGGAGAACCGGGTTTGATTCCCCACTCCTCCACTTGCACCTGCTGATGTGACCTTGGGTCAGTCACAGCTGTCCTTGAAAAAGAGCAGTTTGTGTCAGAGTTCTCTCAGCCCCACCCACCTCACAGGGTGTCTGTTGTGGGGAGGGGAAGGGAAAGGAGTTTGTAAGCCGCTCTGAGACTCCAAGTGAAGGGCGGGGTATAAATCCAACCTCTCCTCCTCCTCTTCTTCTTCTAGAAAGATCTGGATGGCCCAGGCTAGCCCGATCCCATTGGATCTCAGATGCTAAGCAGGATTGGCCTTGGCTAGTATTTGGATGGGCGACTTCCAAGGAATACCAGGGTCATGACGCAGAGGCAGGCAAGGGCAAACCACCTCTGAAATGTCTCTTACCTCAAAAACAAGTCTAGCTCGCCACCTAGTGGTGCATAACACTAAAGAGCTAGAACTTCTGGCTGCTAGACAATCTTAGGATCTCCTGGCTATTCTACACAAAATGCCATCTGATAATTATTATTATTACTGGGTTGCAGTTGTTGGCCTTGTATGTGTGTGTGTGAGTGTGAGTGAGACCTCCATTTGCACAAAGTGTGTGTCCTGTTCCTCCCCCTTTTCAGATTTCTGCTACGGCAACGAGGACCTGACTTTTTCCATCAGTGAGGCCATCAAGTTGTGTGTCACCGTTGTGGCCTATGCCCCCGAATCATTCCGAAGGTACCATTTATTTGGGGTTTCGTTTATTAGTTTTGTTTCTGTGGCACACCTGCAGGCCCTAGGCCGGCACACAGTAGCTCAGAATCTTCCAGAGCTAAGGCTTCTTGGCACTGACTCTGCCTCTTTTAGCCAGTCGTACAATTTTCTTCCTGAATCAAATTCTGGGAAAATGTATTCTTTCTGTTTACAGACTGATCGAGTGGCCTTTACGGCGATCACCTTGGAACAGATTTTTTTCTTTCTTTCCAAGATCAAAAAATGGATTTTTGTAACATTATGAAGGGCTAAGAAAAAGCACTTGGGGGGGGGGGAATCAAATCAAATCAAAATTCCCTTGAGAAGACGGGCAAAGGGGAAAGTCAACGTTAATTTCATGAATCTGGAGCCTGCGGTCAGTCCTGGCTTTTGATTTAGAGGCGGGGAGGAATAGGAGAACAGATGTTCAATTGTCTTTAATTGAGGATGCTAGACTTCTAAGGGGCTGGGGTCAGGAACGCATTTCTTGTTCACTGTGAAAGACTAGCCAGCATTGGTTTCATATGAGAACAAAATTAATAATGAAGTAACTAAGTAGTGTTGCCAGATCCCTCCCCCCCCAGTGGAAGTGGGGGTCCCCCACCACCAGGCCCCACTGCCCCACTGCCGATCAGTTGACCGGCGGGGAAAACTTACCCCAGGAGAGGGAGGTCAAGCCAGCATGCAGTGATGTCTCTGCATCACTGCCCATGTAACCCAGAAATGACATCATCACATCGGGGACATCGAGACCATGAGAGAAGACTAAGAGAGAGAAGCCCAATCCGAAGAATAATTTCCCTATCACAAAGGGCCAGCTTGTCCGGCATCATGTGTGTGGGGGTATGAGGGCTTTGTCTCTACAGGAGAGACCTGCAGAGACCTGTGTCTCCATGGAAGGCCATGTGAGGAGAGGGAGAGGACAAAGCATGAGAGTGAGGAGGGGTCAGAGGGCAGCTCCCAGGCTAAGACAAACAGAGGCATCCCATTCAAGGAGATAACATCTTTACGCCCTTAGGGTGATGTAGCACTCCCCCCCCCCATGTCCAGGCATGGTGAGCTCCCCCCTTCTCCAAACTCCACCCTCCTAACCTGTAGAAGGCAACCAGGGTTACAACCCATTGATTTAGAAGATGTGGCAGTCAATGCTCCCTCTAAGCTGTGGAGTCTTGTGAGCAGAAATTCTACTTTGTGAGCCGCTGGCATTAAAGTTGTGAGCGAGCGATTTGGCTACTGCATAAGTTAGTGTGCTCTGGAGCCCTCCTTCCTGAGCTGAGGCGGAAGTGTGTGAGCCGGAGGCTGAAAAACTGTGAGCTAGCTCACACTAACTCAGCTTAGAGGGAACACTGGTGGCAGTACTTAGGGTGGCATTGTCAATCCCTGTCACTGCTTTGACGTGCTGCCCTTTGGCTCAGTCTTCAGATGCTGATGGTCCTGGAAGCCCTGGTGCCCTGTTACCTGCAGAAGCTCAAGAGGCAGACCTCCCAAGTGGAGACGGTGAGCGCCGCTCGAGAAGAGATAGCGGCTACGGCTGCACTCGCAACATCCCTACAAGCCCTCTTGTGTGGAAGTTCTCCCCCGGTAAGCCCCCCCCCCCCATTCCCTTTTCTGACTTTGACTTCAGAGAACGTAACAGCAGCCTTCTTTCATGTTCCCGGCCATGGTAACAAATGACAGTAGTGTGTTAACTTATAACGGAGACCAATTCCAATTTATTTAATGAGAATTCGACTTGGCGTATTATCGCACATTGAAATTTAAAAACATTGACGCTTGTGTTTTTCCACCTACTGATTTGTTTTAAGTGAGAAACATTGATAACAGAAATTCACATTCTCGTGGCAAATTCAAATTCATTTGATTCACCCAAATATGAGTTTTGACACAATCTTTCTCCATTGAACAGGCCAATGACAGCCCCTCAGATGAGTCGGTGCGATCAAGGCCATAAAGGAACCACTACTGCTAATCATACCATGTCATCAGGGGGCAATGCCAGGTAACAGAGGGCTTTTTGTTACCTCAGTATTCACAGCGGGGCCAGCGTGGTGTAGTGGTTAAGAGTGACAGACTCTAATCTGGAGAACCAGATTTGATTCCACACTCCTCCACATGAAGCCAGCTGGGTGACCTTGGGTTGGTCACAGCTCTTTCAGAGCTCTCTTAGCCAAAAAAAAAAACCCTAATGGTGCATGCTAAAAGAGCTAGAACTTTAGGCTGCCAGACAATCTTAGGATCTCCTGTCCATATGATAATAATGATTAATTATTATTATTACTATTCACAATGTCAAATGAAAATAATAATTACTAATTATTAATAAGAGGGAGGGCAGGAAGGCTTGCCTCAGTGATTAGGTCTTGTGGCCAATTTTTACACGCCCATGGAAATGCTGATTGCCACTTTGGGGTCAGGAAGCAATCCTGGAGGGGTTTTTTTGTCAATTTCTGGGCATGGAACAGCAGTCACTGCGGGTGTGGAGGGGGGGAGGTATTTGTAAATTTCCTGCATTGTGCAGGGGGTTGGACTAGATGACCCTGGAGGTCCCTTCCAACTCTATGATTCTCTATGATTCTATGATTATTATTATTATGATTCACAGCTGCCCATCTCAGATGTAAGTAGGATGTGTACAGTAATTTCAGATGGCACCTTTTTAACTGGCTGATGCATCTTTATTGATAGGCAATAGGGGTAAAAGTCAAAGGCTTGATTCAGATTATCTTCTCTCTGGATGAAATGGTGTGTGTGCGTGAGAGAGAGAGAGAGAGAGTGAGTGAGTGAGACAGAATGAGACCGATTTCACACAAGAGCTGTGCCGCGGTCGCGCCTCCCTTTGCCCTGCTTCTATTGGTCAATTTCCCACTTGAAGCCACGTGGCCGCATTTTGACCTGTGGCGTCACCCGATTTTCCCCGCAGTTCTGTGATCCTGTTTTTTGAGGATCACGAAATTGTGGGGAAAATTGGGCGAAGCCACGGGTCAAAATGCGGCTGTGTGGCTTCGAGTGGGAAATTGACCAATAGAAGCGGGGCAAAGGGAGGCGCGACCGCGGCGCAGCTCTTGTGTGAAATCGGTCTGAGAGATATTGTTTCTCCCCACGCCATCCGCCAGACTTGCTTGTATGCAGAAACAATACACCAATGTTACATATACTGGATGTTAAATACATACACCCTATTTTCAATTAATGTTCCCCTGCTGATGTCCAGTAGGGTGGCCTGGTGATTTCCTTAATTACAGTTGATCTCCACACTACAGAGATCAGTTCCCCCGGGAGAAAACGGCTGCTTTGGAGGGTGGACTGTGTTACATTGTACCCCGCTGAGGTCCCTCCCCTCCCCAAACCCCGCCCTCCCCAGGGTCCACTCACATATCTCCAGAAATTTTGCAACCCAGATTTGGCGAGCCTGACGTCCAGCAGTCCAGAAGCAGTCCAAACACAGTAGGTGGAAGGGAAGCCAAGTTCTCACTCACTCCTTGAACCCAGGAGCAAAAATGAAGGATATTTTCTAAACTGGACCAAAATGTATTTCAAATCCTAGATGATTTCTTTCTCACCACTCTGCCCCTGTTTTCTCTCTAGGTACCCAGAGCAAGGAGCCAAGCTGCACTTTATCAGGTATCTCCCTAACGTACCTAACGTGGGGGCCACAGGGCCCGGCCCTCCTCGCGTTTCTTCTGAGCCACCTCCCTCCCGGGCTGGGCTGATTTTCCCTTCCGGCTGCTTCCCTCCCGGCTTCTCGAGGACCGGATCAGCTCAGCTGCAGAGTAGATCCGCTTCACTCCTCCCAGCACCTTAAGCGACGCATGCGCTTAGGGACATGGCAATTTAAAAAGCGGCAGAGTGAGAGGCGCGACTGGCTCCCCCTTACCTGGTTTAGGAAGGTGCCGGCCTGCTGCGAAGTCACCCCTGAACGGCCATAAATCTATGCAGACGGTACCATAAAACCCTGATGGACAAATAAAGTGAAAGTGGCATGCAATGTCCAGGGAGATTAACCTCCCGACGTGGCTGTGGGAAAACTGCAAGGAAACAGATGGGTTCACAGATGAAAATCCCTTTCCAGCCTTAGCCTCTCCCCCAAACCACACAGCTCACTCTTCCTTTGCTAGTGTGCAGGGGACGTTCCTTCTGTTGAAAAGGAGGTTGTCAGTTGCATTCAGTCGCATTTATCAATGCAGTCCCCCCCCCCCGTCTCCAGTTTCTCATGGCACGTCTTTCCCTTGGTGCAATCTCCAGGGAAAACCTTCATTTGCTGGAGGAAGGCCAAGGCCTCCAGCGGGAGGAGCTGGACGAGAGGCTCGCTCGCGAGGAGTTCAGGCGGCCCCGTGAGTCCCGCTGAACATCTGCACGGAGTTCTACAAGCACTGTGGCCCCCGGCTGAAGATTCTGCAGAACCTGGCCGGAGAGCCCAGGGTGACTTCTCTGGAGCTGCTGGACGTCAAATCCCATATGAGGTATTCTGCTTCTTGCAAGAATTATGTTCCAACCTGTATAAATAGGGAGAGCGGCTGTTGAAGTGGACATGACATGATAGGTATGTGTCCGTCCCCCACCCCCCGGGAGCCTTTTGGCTGTGAGCAGAACGGGACTCTTTCAACGGTTCAAAATAGATAACTTAGAATAAGAAAGAAAACGCCCAGCTAAAAGCAGATATGAGAATCCAGTGTGTGTGGGGGAAAGATGTTAAAGAAATGGAAACATAATCCTTGGCTTGGATCCCCTGGTAATATCAGCAGATGAAAGGGATTTCCATCTGTGAAGTGCGACCGCCTCTGCTCCTGCCTCAACTCCCCCCCACCCCGAAATGCTGCTCCAAGAGGCAGGGAAACCCCAACAGCATGACCGGGGAGTCAGAGGAATGCTGGGGAAGACGTGAGTCAGCAGAAACGGTGCCTCCCCCCATCCATGGAAATCCTGTGGGGTTTGGTGTAGTGGTTAGGAGCACAGACTCTAATCTGGGAGAACCGGGTTTGATTCCCCACTCCCCCACATGCAGCTGCTGGGTGACCTTGGGCAAGCCACAGTTCTCTCAGAGCTGTTCTCTCAAGAGCAGTCCTCGAAAGAGCTCTTCCAGCCCCACCTACCACACAGGGTGTTTCTTGTGGGGAGAAGAAGGGAAGGAGATTGTAAACTGAGATTCCAAGTGAAGGGCAGGGTATAAATCCAATCTCTTCTTCTTCTTCTTCTAAGTTGTTATTAAAAGGATGAATAAAATAAATAGGATGAACGTTATCTAGCACCCTAAAAGATCTTAATGTAGGACTCAGCTGAATTTGTCTAGGAGGGATGTGTTGGAACTAAATGTTGGAACTAAAAGGGAAAAAACCTTTCTCTTTAGTGAAGCCTTGTCTAATTTCTGAAGGTACGAGTGTTTGATTGGATCAAGGTTTGAATGGATAGGCAGATTCCCTCAGGATCCAGCAGGTTTTAAGATAATCTTATTCCAGATGGTTTAGGACCACTTACAAGTCAATATAAACACACAGTGGAAATTTTAAAAAATGATTTCTTAATTATTTTACAAACACAAAAAATATACACTACTACAATACACTACTAGAATTATATGTAGAACATAGACAGTCATCTTACATAAGCATAAACATAAACATGAACATGGACAATCATCTATGACCATCTGCTTCATCTGCCATATCTAATTCATACCTACACTATGATACTACAATAATCTATTTATCACAATTGTCAATCAGAGCTTACTTGCTTGTATAAGACTTATTTGTATATGCTCTAAGTTTTCAATTCTGTTTAATTTTATTCTATCTTTTCCTCGTTACTTCATATCTGACATTTTGTTATTACAAGTGTTTATTCCCTGACTCTGTCTCTTAATCATTCTCTGCTTTAACGATTTAATCCTGATTTTCAGCCACATAAGTAAAAAACACATTCCATCTTTCTTGGAATTCTGAAATTGGTCTGTTGTGTGAATAAGATGTTCGTTTTGCCATTGTCGCATACTCGGTGAATTTATCCTTCCGTTCCGTCAGTACCGGACATTTCTCCGCCTTCCATTTTGTCGCAAAAGTCACTCTTGCCGCCGTTACCATATATTTGAATTGTTCACTGAACACACAGTGGAAATCTTGATTCTTGTCCAGTAGCACCTTAGAGAGCAATGAGCTTTTCGGGGCGTGGGCTTTTGAGAGTCAAAGTTCCCTTTGTCAGATGTCTGGTGAAGGGAGCTTTAACTCTTTTAAATTCTCCCCCCCCCCCCCATCAAGTCAAGCTGTGGGGCTTGCGTGGTTCGATGAGCCTGTGGGCTATGCCGTTGAGGGCCACCAAAGACGGACAGGCCACAGCAGAGACAGCAGAGAACTCAGACCAAGCGTGATCCCCTGGAGAAGGAAATGGCAACCCACTCTAGTATTTTTGCCAAGAAAACCCCATGGACAGTATCAAAAGGCTAGAAAGGCCTGGCGGGATCTGGTCCATGGGGTCGCGAAGAGTCGGACTCGACTGTGCGACTGAACAACAACAACAAAAGTGGGGCTTGAAAGCAAAGGGATGTTCAGCGGTGGCTTGCCATCACCTCCCTCTGTGTCACGACCCTGGTATTCCTTGGAGGTCTCCCAGGCAAACTATGTCCAGGGCCAGCCCTGCTTAGCTTCTGAGATCTGACAAGCTCTGCGCTGGGAACTTTGACTCCTGAGACTTGAATCTCACTCTTTGACTGCAGACCGACATGGCTACCCGGTGAAAATCTTGTAATGTCAGGAAAATATGTTCCCAGTTAACTGACTGGCCGCTCCGTTTTAGAGCAGGGACAGGCGCCCCTAGCACAGAGTGCTATAAGAGTGGCACGGTAGGCCATTTTACTCTTCATGCGGGGCCAGTTTTTGGCCCAAGGTGAGCTCTGAGGTACTGGCAGTGTTCCTGGGGCTCAGGTGGGTCCCGGTGGGTCCGGCTAAACCTCATACCCCACCCCTTTCCTTTGCTGGCATACCAGCATCTTCACAGGGAGACATTGCGGGTTCTTCGGCACTTGAGCTGAAAAGGTTCCCTACCCTTGTCCTTGGCTCACCGCTTTCTAAATTGTATTCAGATGGGAAGAGGGAGGGGGGGACTTTGGGAATGATGCCACGCAGATGGTATGATGTCACTTCCAGTGAATACCCAGAAGTGATGTCACAGCACCGGCGTGCTGTCGACGTAACGTTCTAGGAGTCTTCTCCAAAGTTCTTTTGCCCAAGTTTGTTCCTCTCAGTGGGCTGGCAGGCAATGGAGATGGAGACCCGGCGTCCCTATCTTCAGAGGTAGACCTCTGCGTAGCGCACGGTAGTAGTCAAGGCTGGATGAGACCAGATTGTGAATAATGGTGACCGTTTCTGTCCAGTGGGGCCTCAGTTGGTTGAAGGTGTTTTGTGTGACAGAGGCTTTCTGGGCACCAGCTTGTAGATCTCAATGTGTCCCCTGAAGCATGTACCATACCTTACTGTGCCACCCCATCTAAATGTCATCAGAATGGAAAGAACACACATCTACTAAAGAGTGAAAAATCAGAGCTATCAGGAAATAGAAGCCATAGTAGAGTTATGCTTCACTTACGTGTGATTCCTTTTTCTCAGGTGTTCAGACCCTAAGAACATAAGAGAAGCCATTTTGGATCAGGCCAATGGGCCATCCAGTCCAAACACAGTGGCCAAAACCCAGGGTCCATCAGGAGGTCCACCAGCAAGTCCAGAACTCCAGAAGTCCTCCCACTGTTGTCCCCCCACTGTTGCCCCATAAGCATCAAGAATACAGAGCATCACTGCCCCACACATAGTATTCCACCTATACCGTGTGGCTAATAGCCACTGATGGACCTCTGCTCCTACGAACATAAGAGACGCCATGTTGGATCAGGCTAACGGCCCATCCAGTCCAACACTCTGCGTCACCCAGTGGCCAAAACCCAGGTGCATCAGGAGGTACCCCAGTGGGGCCAGAACTCCAGAAGCCCTCCCACTGTTGCCCCCCAAGCACCAAGAATACAGAGCATCACTGTCCCAGACAGAGTGTCCCATCTATACCTCATGGCGAAGAGCCACTGATGGACCTCTGCTCCATATGTTTATCCAAGCCCCTCTTGAAGCTGTCTGTACATGTAGCCACCACCACTTCCTGCAGCAGTGAATTCCATGTGTTCATTCCTCCTTGGGTGAAGAAGTACTTCCCTTTATCTTTTCTGAGCCTATTGCTCATTAATTTCCTTGTGTGCCCACTAACATCTCCCTGTGACACACAGCAGCCAAGGTTCAGGACAATGCTGCCCAGCACCAAGGGCGCATCCTTTCCACACTTTCCCCGCTTTGGGGTAGAGCCAGTTTGGTGTAGTGGTTAAGTACGCGGACTCTAATCTGGGAGAACCGGGTTTGATTCCCCACTCCTCCACTTGCACCTGGCTGGATGACCTTGGGCACTCCGTACTTCTGATAAGAGCCGTCCTTGAAAAAGAACAGTTTCTGCCAAGAGCTCTCTCAGCCCCACCTCCCTCACAGGGTGTCTGTTGTGGGGAGGGGAAGGGAAAGGAGTTTGTAAGACGCTCTGAGACACCTTTGGGGAGTGGTGGGGTATAAATCCAATCTCTTCTTCTTCCTCTTCTTCTTCTTCCTCCTCCTCCTCTTCTTCTTCCTCTTCTTCTTCTTCCTGATAAGCAGCTGGTTTATGCAAACTCCCTTCATCCTTAGATGCCTCAAGGTGTCTGCCAAGGTTTCCTGCCCAGATTGCTTTTAAAAAATCCTGTTTATTGATTTAAAACTAAACAAACAAAACCAAAAAAAACCCAGTAATGAGATTGTGGGGCTCTGGGCCCCCCCCCGCCCTCCGCGCCCTTCCCCGGGGGGGGGGGGGGCAGCCTTCTTACCAGCCTCAAAATTGGGAAGGAGATGGGGTTGCGGCATCCTGGTCCCTTTCCTTCCCCGAACGGGCCCTCTCCGTCTCTCTCTCTCTCTCTCTCTTCTCCCAGAGTTCAGCCTGTTTCTCCTCCCTGGCCAGGTGGGGCAGTTTCCTTTTATGGCCCTCCCTGTTCCCACCCCTGTGCTGCTTCGCAGGGGTCATTTTGTAGAAAAAGAGATGCAGGAACTCATTAGCATAACTCATTAGCATAACTTATTTGCATATGCCACACCCCTGACATCACCGGAAGTGTGTGAGAAGGCAACACCCACCGCTCAGGCACCACTGGACTCTTTTGGACTGCTAGCTATTTTTTTGGGGGGGGGGGAACGTGCAGATCTGCCCTCGCAGAGGAGCGAGAGCTTGTACTTGAACAAAACATTGTCTTAAAGGTGCCACTGGACTGTTTTGGACCGGGGGGCTGGGGGGGCTCTGCAGCTTACCTGGCTGCTTCTTGCTCTGACTGAGGGCTGCTGGGAGCAGGGGGTGGGGCTTGTTGCATGTGCCTGCCCCCTGGGCTCCTTACTGCCGGAGTTCCGCTCCTGTGTGCTCCTGCAGGAAATGACCCCTGTTCCTCTGTATGGCTCAGAAGGGTAGCCTGTCTCTTCCCAATCTATCTCCCTCTGGACTCAGCCCTTCCAGGCTTTGCCCCCTCCCACCGCCCCAGCACTGGCTGTGTTCCCCACCTTCCACCTGGCAGCTGCCGTTGTGCAAGTGGGGTCCCCTGTCTCTGCTGCAGCTGCTGTAGGCCTCCTCTGCCGTGCCTGGCCACGGCAAGGCCATTCCCTGGCTGCATCGCCTTTTGTCCTTCAGTCTATCTCCAAGTATTTGCAGTGTCAGGAGGGAGGATTCGTTTACTTCAGAGGGAAGCTGAAGCCGTCAAGTTGAAGCCGACTTATGGTGACCTTGTACGGTTTTCAAGGCAAGGGATGTTCAGAGGTGGTTTGCCAGTGCCTGCCTCTGTGATCCTGGGCTTCTTGGTGGTCTCCCAAGCAAGTACTAACCACACACACACACACAAAGTTGGTCAATCAGAGTCAGTAGTGTCTACTCAGACTGGCAGCAGCTCTCCAGGGTCTCAGGCAGAGATCTTTCACACCACCTACTGCCAGATACTTTTAACTGGAGATCCTGGGGATTGAACCTGGGACCTTCTGCATGCCAAGCAGATGCTTTACCACTGAGCCCCAGCCCCTCCAGGGGGCTGACCCAGCTTAGCTTCCAAGATCTAGTGAGCCTGGGCTAGTCTGGGACATACAGGCCAGGGCATCCTTGATTTCATTGCCCAAGATTCTTTCAGCAATCTATTAGAGCCTTGTTTTTCGGTCCTGCCCATGGCTACAGGACTGCTGGTTCAAACTACTTGGCACCTTCTGGTGCAGAGGTGTCAGACCTGTTTGTTACGAGGGCCAGATCTGACATTAAAGTTACTTTGCTGGGCCATGTCTGCCAGAAAATGAAATACCAGGTACCAGAGATTTAAATTTTATAAATGACACAGGCAACCCCAGTGAATGATATTATTATTTTTTTACTCAAAATACAAACAAAACCAACTGATTCCTAGGAGTGAAAGCAACTGATTTACTGGGAAATCCACAAAAGCCCCAATAAATGTATTTAATCTTATGCAAGACTTGGGGTTCCAGGGATACAATACCCGCCCCCTAGCCATTTCCTTTCATTTCTCGACAGCTTTGACCACACACACACCTCACTGTGTGCGCCCACACGCCCAAGTCCCTCCAGCGGCCCCCTTCCTTCCCTCTCTCACACCAGTTGCTGGCGGGCCAGCTAAAGGCCCTAGATGGGCCGGCTCCAGCCCCCGGGCCACATGTTTGACACCCCATTCCAGTGAGTCCAGACTGTGGGGAGCTCTCCATTCCATCCACTTTGGTTCCCTTTGAGCAGAAGACTTCACCGGGGCCTTTGTCCTGCTTCCCCAGTGAACGGAAACGGGTTGCCCCTTTGTCTGCTCACTTTCACATTAGTCCCTTCATTGTTCTGTGCAGAGCAGGGGTGACTGCCTTTTCTTAAAAGGCAAAGAGGGAAGATGCTACAGCTGCCAAGCAGCATCCTGGGCTCTGTCCTCAGCTTCCCTTATGGCTAAGACCCATCTTTTCCCCTGGCTCTACAGAGAAGGGAGGGGGTTCTTCCTTGTCCTGTCCCGGCCAAGTCTTGGCTTCAAAGAGAACCTGCCTCTGAGTGGGTGGAGTGGACATCCCTCCCTCCCATAGCCTTCTGGGCCCACTGGAAGGCAATATTGGGGGTACTGGGTTAATATAGCAGAGTTTTGACCAGTCATAGAAGTGTAGTGGATAAATCTCCCAAGAAGTATATTGCAAAAAAGGTAAGCGTACATTTGTTCAAGTAGATCCCATCAGGGGTCGTTTCGTAGAAAAAGAGCTAGGGGGACTCATTAGCATAACTCATTAGCATATGCCACACCCCCTGACGTCACCGGAAGTGTGTCATAAGGCCACACCCCCTGACATCACCGGACGTATGTCATAAGGCGCCACACCCCGCCCCCACCGGTCCCAGCCGCCACCGCCGGCCTTGCAGCTCCACTGCCCGGCGGTGGACCTGCAAGGCCGGCGGGAGTGCAAGGAAGCCCCGCGAAGGCCCTCCCTGGCCCCAGGCAGGCAGGGGTGGGGAGAGGCAGGGAGGAAGCAACTTACCCTCCCTCTTCTCCTGCCTCCTCCTGGCTGAATGAGGGCCGGAAGCGGGGTGGCCGGAAGCAGGGGGCGGGGCTTTGTCATGTGCCCCGCCCCCCGTACCTCACCCGGGGGAACTGCGATCCCCCGCGATCCCCCCCGAAATGACCCCTGGATCCCATTCACATTCAGGTTGCAGCCGAAAGCAGAGAGAGAGAAGCCTAATCTAAAGAGCAGTGTTCCCTCTATGCTGAGTTAGTGTGAGCTAGCTCACAGTTTTTTAGCCTCCGGCTCACACGTTTTTGTCTCAGCTCAGAGCAGACTAATCTATGCAGTAGCCAAATCGCTCACTCACAACTTCAATGCCAGCAGCTCACAAAGTAGAATGTTTGCTCACAGGACTCCACAGTGTAGAGGGAGCATTGCTAAAGAGTATTTTCCCCTATCACTAATGGCCAGCTTGTCCAGGATCGTGTGTGTGGGAGTATGAGGGCACTGCTTTTACAGGAGAGAACTGCATCTCCATGGAAGGCCATGTGAAGTGAGTGAGAGGACAAAGAAGGGGGAGAGAGGAAGAGTCAGAAGGCAGCTTCCAGGTTAAGACAAACAGAGGCATCCCATTCAAGGAGATAACACCTATACACCCTTAGAGTGATGTAGCGCCCCCCAGTGTCCAGGTGCCCCTAGTGATGTAGCACCCCTCCATTGTTGCTCACTCCAACAGGCAATCCAGTAGGAGGAGAATTCATCAGGTAAGCAAACTCTCCAGTCTACATTTAAAGGATGGAGAGGAGGGAGCATACAGTGTATTAGTAAAAACAATTATTTCTTCTGCCTGTTGCTTCCTTATAAGCTTGTAAACATTTTAAAGCTCAGTAGGTGTTTTGCAAGAGATTGTGGGTTAGATAACATGTTTGTTGATTTTGCAACTTGTGGATTTAGTTTTCCATTAGGGTTCTCGTCGTGTTATTATGTTTTTCACTGTTCGTTATACGCTGTTTTTCATTCATGAGTTCCAGGTATTTTGAGCAAATGTGTCTTTATCTAGTGGAACATATGTCATCGCCATGGAAACAAAGTGCTGCCTCTAGTTTAGTTGAGAGTCTGCTCTTCTGTGGCGATGAATCAAACAAAGTTGACTTTCTCGGTGACTGCAAGTTCACGTTCGGTCTGTTTCTTTGAAGGCAACATGGTTAGAATCTCAGACTAGAATCAGGGAGACCCAGGTTTGACTCCCCACTCTACCATGAAAACTCGCTAGGTGACCTTGGGCCAGTCAGACCCTCTCAGCCTGACCTACCTCATAGGGATGTTGTGAGGATAAAAGGGGGAAAGGGAGAAATCTGTATGTTACTCGGAGTTCCTTAGAGGAAGAGTGGGATAAAAATATACTCGATAGATAACTAGACGGACAGGGAAATCACCTGAGCACGCACATAAGCCCTTTTCCTGCCCATCTGTTCAGTCAGTGTCTCACCCAAAGCAAAGCTGGTAGTAGTCACAGGTTGAAGTCTCTAGCTTTTCTGTTCTCTAGGTTTGCAATCGTACTTGGTCTGTGGCTGTAGGTAGCCCCTTCTGCGCTACCGGACATTCCAGCATGCCATTTTCTTACCAGCTACTCGTGGCTGTCTGCTGCGAAGCTTCTTGTGCAGAATCCCAGATTTCCCTCTTAACAAGCGATAATTTTAGGTTGGCAGAAATTGCACATTCCCTTCTGAAGCTGGCGCCGTACGACACCCAGACGATGGAGAGCCGCGGGCTCCGGCGCTACATCATGGAGATGCTGCCCATCACTGACTGGACGGCCGAGGCTGTGCGGCCAGCCCTGATCCTCATCTTAAAGAGACTGGACCGTATGTTCAATAAAATTCACAAGATGCCTACTTTGAGGTGAGCAGGTGGGACGGAAACCCTCGGGGGTCCGTTGTCGATGTTTGCGCGCCTTGAAGGAAGGGGTATGTCATTTTATTGACAGTGTTTTGCTGCACTGAATTCTTTTACAGCAAACGAGAGGAAATGCATTTCTCCTAGTGTTGAATGTGCATGCGTCCCCGTGTGTGTCTCCTGACAGCAATAGAGGAAATGCATCTCTTTATGAGGAACCACAAGCAGAAACCGTGGAAGTGTAGCATGTGTCTCAAAACGAGTATCCGGGAGTGAGATATTTGTTCTTGTTTCTTTTTTTAAAAAAGGAATTATCCTTAGAAAACTTATGTGTGATGTAGGTATGTGAATGTCAGCACTCCTGTGTGCATGATTTCTTTTGAGCTTGTGTGCAACTACAGAAATTTTCAAATAACTTCTATATACAAAGCATAAAAGTCGAGGGAATTTAATCCTTCTGAAGGCTAGAAAGCTCTATCAGTGGCTTTGTTTGATGAGGCCCAAGTGAACGAGTTTCAGGGGTTTCAGTCATTTCAAAAGGCAGTGTTATTTTCCTGCCTCATGAACCCTTGTTTACAGAGGAGTGGTGCTCTAGCATGTTTTCACCACATCAGTCTCATATCTTTTCTTTCCCCCCCTCCAAAGTAGTAATTCTTTTGAATCTCGGTTGATGCTGAATTGCAGCCTGGTGATTTCTTAAAGGATTATTCCTTGTGAATAAATAGCCATACCAAGTCTGCTTCCCTTCATCTTCCCCAATAAGACTAAATGAATTAAAGCTGATACTTTTCTTTCCTCTGGTCTTCCTTCTTGTATCTTTCTCTTGTATAAAAGGATGTCACCTACAGAAGTGTTTTGGGGGGGTTTGCCTCTACTCTCTCATCTGCCCTTTTCCGAACTGGGCCTAGGGTTTTTGTCTTCTTTCTTCATCTCTGAAGCCCTAAAGAGCACCCTGGGACATTTAATGGCTAAAAGACTCTTCTTAATTTTTTAGCTCTGTTGTAACAAGACAAGTTCTTTCAATCTGCTGAGCCTTTCCAGTTTTACTTTTAAGAAAATCATAAATGCTCCTTGTCGCGGGAAAGGAGTCAGCCTTCGAGAACTGCCCTAAGTTGTCTCTCCTTGCCTTATTCTGTTAAACATTTCATTTCAGACTGGAAAAAAAATCCCACTGGATATCAGTTCAGAGGATAGGAAAAGATCTGGGTCATGTTGCATCTTAAAGGATCTTAGATCACATGACCCGTTCTGTATTTGTCTTCTTTTCTCTCAGAAATGACTCAGCGAGCTTCCAATAAGTAGAAAAGACACAGCCTATGCTTAATAAAATAGAATAAAGCATTATTCTTTAACACCCTGTTACGAACCCCGGCCAGGGGCTCCATAGGTTCACAGAAGTCCCTAAAGAACCGATACGAGATTTCTGAGTTTACTTATGAGGAGAGCTTTAATAAAACATCAGAGTTATCAAAGTAGATTTGGGCTAAACTCAAGATGCACACATGTGCACAGCAAAGCTTAGCCAAACCTCAAGACCAGCTGATTGAAGTGTAGCCCGAATCTGCTTTGATAACTCTGATGTGTTATTAAAGCTTTCCTCGTAAGCTATCCCGGATCTCTCGTGTCGATTGTTTGGGGATTTCTGCGAACCTATGGAGCCCCTGGCCAGGGGCCATAGCACCCCTCTGAAACAACATTTTGTGATGGAGATTTTCAATCAGACTCCCAACCTGCTCCGGCCTCACCACGCGCTTCTTCCGTGGTTGACCATTCAGATCAGTGCTGTGCGTCAACCACGGTGTGCTCGGTCTGGTCTTATTTTGTTTTTTAAAATAATAACGCTGTCTTTTTAAAGAACATTTCTTGGGTGAGCACATGGGCATATGCTCTACCATTTTTAAAAAACAAAAACCTGCTGAACCCGGAACTACAGGTTCACACTTTTGAACCAATTTGAGTGTGTACTGGGGGAGTTCAGACATCCGGCAACGTGGGATGAATGCACAAGGGTCTGTTAGCACAAGAATTCATCTGCTGTCTATTTACTCCATCTCCAACTTGTCTCACGACGGGGTGAGTATGACGGGGAATGGCTGCCAGATGTGGCTGTGTGAACTAGCTGGTTTAATCCGTTAGGGGAAAGCAACTATATTGGCCCAAACTGCCTGTCTGATCGCAGCCATAGTAGCCTTCATTTCTTCAGTTTCTTGATTTCATCTACTGGTCCATTGCAAAGCTCCGAGCTCTTCATGTTAAAAGTGTAGAACAGTCATAACAGTTTAATAGCTCAGTTATTTGGCCAGTCAACACCTGCCGCAGCAATCAAACACACACACATTCAAAATCACCATGATGTTATCCTACCAGATCCAGGTGCCCTGGCTCTTCTTTATGAACTGCTCTCTTCATACACACCTGGCCTACCTTCCTCTCTCTTTCTCTCTCTCTTTATTTGTTGATGGTCTGAGTAGTCTGCTTCGTTAATGTCGCATGGTGGCAGCTCCTCTTTGCTGCAAGTCCTGTCTCTTCTGCGATGCCTTCCTCTGCCCCTTTGTTTTTTTCAGTAGCATGGGTAAGATGATTACGTTGTAATGTAGCATGTTGGCATCCAAGATCTTCGCCTTTGTCCGAAGCGTCCCTCGGCACCCCTGTGTCTCAGTCACTTTGTTGTGGGGTTCCTGGTGGGGCCACTGTCCTAACGCCACCTACTGTTGTGTTCCAGGAGACAGGTTGAGTGGGAGCCTGCCAGCAATTTGATTGAAGGGGTTTGTTTGACACTTCAGAGGCAGCCAATCATATCCTTCCTCCCTCACCTTAGGTCACTGATCAATGTCTGTGTCAATCTGGTGAGTAGTCAAATTGCAATCTCCTGAACATCTGCTAAGCTTCCCTTTGCTGTAGAGATACCCCTCCATCCTGCCCACCATACCGAATTCCTGTTCCTCATCCCCCAGAAACAGGTTTCCTGATTGACCCTAAAAACAGTGGAGTCTATTTTCAAAGTGGTGCGTGGGGAGTGAATGAGAGAGCGAGAGAGAGCTGTAGTCTGGTGGCGGAGGGTTTTGTTGCTACTTTCCAGGTACCATTTTGAAAATCCACTCCGGCCTGTTGCGCCGAGAGTTGAGGGCTGCAAGTTGGAGAGTGGGGTGGTGGATACCGCACACCGTAGGGTTGCCAACCTCCAGGTGGAGCCTGGAGATCTCCCGGAATCAAAACAGATCTCCAGGCCACAGGGATCAGTGCCCCAGGAGAAAACAATAGCTTTGGATGGTGGGCTCTATGGCATTATACCCCACTGAGGTCCCTCCCTTCCCCTGGCTCCACCCCCAAATCTCCAGGAATTTCCTAACCCGGAGTTGGCAACTCTGCGCACACACTTAGGAGGGGGTGAGGGAAGGGCATTTCAAGTTATGGAAACAAACACTTTTCTTACTGCTCTGCAAAAAGGCGTTGATAATTGACTAATCAGAGTGATTACCGAGTAAATTTGCTCTGCTATTGGTAGTGTCCATAGTCTTACCGTAATTCATGGGTTTGTCTGCAATGTTCAGATCCTTCTGTCATGTAGTTCCATCACTGGGAACTGCCAAAGCCAGCCTGCAGATTGTGATAGATCTTTCTGTTTCAGATTAGCAATGCCAAAGTGTCATTGATTCAAACAAACCCACAGCAAGCACAGTCTAATTGTATAACAGTTTCATTTAATTTCTTTGAAGCCTTGGCAAAAATGTTTGAATTTTGGCAAGCCTAATGTAAAAGCTAGTTAATGTGGGGTAAGTGTTTTAGATGCCTGCAAAATGGATAGTGGCAGATAAGGGTTTCTTAGCTAAATCTATATGTATACTTTTTTGTCTATGCATGAAAATATTTTTGAACAGTATGCTAATTTTAAAAGTGGGGGAAAGTCTCTCAGAGCTCTCCCAGCCCCACCTACCTCACAGGGTGTCTGTTATGGGGAGAGGAAGGGAAGGAGATTGTAAGGCACTCTGAGACTCCGAGTGAAGGGCAGGGTATAAATCCAATTCTTCTTCTAATTCTTCTTCTTCTAATTCTTCTTCTTCTAATTCTAATTCTTCTAATTCTAATTCTAAATCTTCTAATTCTAAATCTTCTAATTCTAAAACTTCTAATTCTAATTCTTCTAATTCTAATTCTTCTAATTCTTCTTCTAATTCTACTTCTTCTTCTCACCCCCGCCCCCACAGGGCAAACCTGTGTAGAAGCCTAAGTGTGAAGCTTCCTGGAAAAGTAACCACCTTAAGTGCCACTGCAAAACATTTTGCATGCACTTCATCTTCTACACATGACATATGACAATTTAACCAGATTTGCAGCCGTAAGGGTAAATGACTTTGTAAAGGGGTCATCTAAATGGAAGATCCATGTTGAGAGGCAGTATGACCCTGAATACCAGTTTCCTGGGGACAAAAATATCTTCCCGCAAGCATCTGACTGTCCATTCTTAGGATGGGTGTTGGACTAGATGAACCTTTGGTCTAATGTAGCTGGACTCGTTTGGTATTCTAAGTTGCTTGAAGGTCACCAAAGGTCCATTATGGCTCCTCATTTCCCCCGAGATATACTGAAGCAGACTTTTACAGGATAGTTCCTTGAGAAGAGAGACACTACTGAGGTCCCACGGTTCTACTTTTCTAAAAAATGTCTATTTAGGGCTGCCAAGGGCGGGGAAACCCCTGCCCCAGAGGCCCATTCCCCGACGTTGGGGAATCGGGCCCCAGGGGGAACCCCGCCCTGGCGTGCGTGTCACCAGGAAATGACGCTATGACGCCAAGCACACTGGGGGCGGGGCCACGGCCATACAAGGGAAAACTCTATGGTTTTCCCTTGTATGGTCGTGGCCGCACCCCCAGCGTGCCCGGCATCATAACATCACTTCCTAGTGACGTGCATGCGGTGCGTGGACGCTTTGCGTGCGCGCGCACCGGAAGCCGCACAGGAGTCCCCCGCTGAGGAGTTAAGTGCCACTTGGCAACCCTATGTCTATTATGTCTAAATAAATATACAAGTCATGATGATAGGTAGGAGATGAAATACAAGTAATACTAGTCCTCCAGTCCAGCATCACAATACTGTCAGAAGCTACTTTGGCCCACCAGAAATCTTTCCCAGTAAGATCTAAATTTAGGTGGTGATAGAAAGTGCCGTCAAATCGCACCAGAGTTATGGAAACCCTATTGAGTTCTCAGGCAAGAGACAATCAGAAGTGATTTGCCATTGCCTGTCTCTACGTAGCAACGCTGGACTTCTTTGGTGGTCTCCCAATCAAGTACTAACCAGGACTGACCCTGCTTATGTCCCAAGATCTTATGAGATCGGGCTAGCCTTGGCCATCCAGATCAAGGCAAGAGACAATGAGAGGTGGTTTGCCATTGCCTGCCTCTGTGTAGCAACTCTGGACTCTTGGTGGTGTTCCATCCAAGTACTAACCAGGGCTGGCCCTACTTAGGTTCCAAGATCTGATGAGATCGGGTTCACCTGGGCCATCCAGGTACCACCTTCCAATTCAAGCTACTGGACATTGAAGGCTGAGAAGCAGGATTGTATTGTCTGCCCTCCGGCTCCACTTGAAGAGAGGAGTGTTGATGATTTAAGAATGTGCTGTAAGCAGCATTATTAACTCCCCCCACCAAAGCCACTTTTGAGCATAGATCTGAGTTCCTTTACAGAGTTAATCCTCAAAGACAGTTGAACATCCAGGAGAGTCTGAACATTGTATGAAACCCAGCCAAGGGCAGACTCGGGACATTACTTAGAGGCAAGAAGAAAGAAAAGGGGTGATTCAAAAGCCAACTAGAAACACACTGTGATTTCCAGACGTTGTTTCTACAGCTTATATTAGCTACATGGCATACCCTCCAATCCCACCTCTTTCACCAATGCGGTGCTAGTTGTTCTGGACTAGTACTGGGTACATTCCTCAATGTACTGCTTCCCCTTGTGCCTCCCGTTCACCCCTTCTGGTCAACCCTGTAGCAGTCCCCCTTCCTCCATCCCCACCTCCTGCTAGAACCACTCCTTTTCCTTCCTAGCCCCAGCTACCGCAAGGCCTTGTGGGGGCTCAGGCTCCCAGAGTACCCCCCCCCCAGTCTTGTGCTATCTGATGTGTGCCCCTCATTGCCCTCGGAGGGTATGACATGGATGGAACGTCAAGAGCTGGTCTTGGTGATGTGCTGTGTTTGTATTACAGGTGATGGGAGTAGTGGGACCTTCCAGTGTGGCCGATGGATTACCCCTTCTTCATCTCAGCCCTTATCTCTCGCCACCTCTGCCCTTCAGCACAGCTGTTGTCCGGCTTGTAGCATTGCAGATTCAGGTGTGACTGCCTCGCCTGCTCAACAGGCTTTGCTTCTCATGTGGTTGAGACACTGACTCATCGGTGATCTCTCTTGTTTTCTGCGAAAGCTGGGCAAAATCTGTGAAGCGAACCGTAAACTTTCCCATGAATAAGTTAAAAGTTCGGAATGTCTGCGTTCGACAATTATCCAAATCTTCGGTGGGTGACGATTTAGAATAGTCCCACTGCAATTGCAGTGGAACTATGCTGGGTTCAGCCTACTGAACAGCTGATGCAATAGATCATTAATTCTTCCTGGGAAGCTTAGAGGTATAGACCACTGTTGTGCTTTAGAATACGAGAACTGTGGTAAAACCACAGGACATCCATGGGTCATGTAGACAAGTTTTAGAGTTTCACAGAACTAATCCCTATCTGAAATGACTGAATGCATCTGCATTGATAGTCAATGTTCTTTTCTGCAAATCTGAGGATCATTTATTTTTTCCCTTCTGTCTGAAGTTCAGTGTAATTCCAAACCTTGCATACAAAGAGCTGAGGGTTCAACAAGAGACTGCTTTATCAGTTTTGTATGTCAGGATTTCAAGGAGTTGACAGAAAGAATCCATTTTAAAAAACAAACTCCTACGTCTGGTATAAATTATTATTATCTAGCGGTATCAAACTACTTTTGGGGGGCTGGAGGGCTTCTGGAATTCGGGTTGGTGTCAAGTGAAGCCAGGTAACTGGGTGGAGAGATCACATGAACTGTAAATGCACAGCTTTTATTGGTTTGCATACTGTTTATCAAATAACATCTTTTGTGATCCTGAATAATGAAAATACAGTGCTAGTGTGGATTCTTGTGTCGACTTCTGTGGGTTCCATATCTCTTGTACTTCGAAGGAGTCAGATTTGAGAGACCCCCGAAGGCCCTTGAAAAATTCCAGTTTCCCCTCAAATTCAGTACATGTATCTGCATCCAGATATTATGCTTATGAATGAGGAACCTATCATAAGCACAAAAGTAGGGGGGTTGCTTTTTTCTTCTTCTAGATTCTTTATTTTAAATGTTGGCCTTACTTACATTAAAATGCATAGATAGTTATCAATACATTCAGGATAAAATGAGATGTAAATGAGATAAAAACTGTGGACATTTTATTGAAAGTAGAATTTGCCATTATACAAGATTATCCAGCTTGGTGCTGATAGGTGTATTAAAGAGATGCTCTTGTAAGGAGTCTGTGGATCCCTTTCCGTTACAGTCACGTCCCCCCCTTACAACCTTACAGTACAATGATTTAATTCTTTCTTATTATCACCGCACAGGCTTTGAAAGAAGATTTCCCCTTAAGCCACGTGATCTCCCCATTCACCAATCAGGAAAGAAGGGAAGGAATGCTTTTAAACCTACTGATTCCATTTGTGCTCACAGTAGGATCAGGAAGCAAAGGTCTGATTAATTCAACAGAAAGATTCCTCTGTTTTCACCCCACTCCTTCCCCCTCTGAAACAGCGAATGTTTGTGCTTCCTTTCACCTCTGTGTTTCTCTCTCTATGGATGTTCTTTCCGTGGTGTGTTGTCTATCGGGCTTGTGAGGGACAATCAGAAGGAACTGGGATAGGCGTCGTGGCTTCCTTCTCTCGTTGCAGTTGTATTTTCTGAATTCACTCTCTGACAGAGGCGCTCCTGTTTTTGCAGTCTGAGCCATGACTGAGCATGCCAGACAAAGCCCAAATTCAGAAATGGGAAGCAAGCCAGAGATTCCCAGGGCTTCCGTCTACCCAATCCCATGTCACTCGTGTGGCTCGAACTCTCCTTCTTTTATACTCTGAAATTTCCCGCAATAGATTTTTCCTTACCAGGCACAAACCCAAAGTTTTCTCCTCCTTTCCCCACATTTTTAGAATCCCCAGTTTTAGCGAGTTCCAAAAACGCGGTGAAAGGAGAAAACTTCGGGTTTGCGCCTGGTGAGGAAAAATCGAATGTGGAAAATTTCACGCAATGCGCAGATTTAAAAACGTCAATGCGGGGAATGTCTCTACTGTGGAAATGGTCTCTGTTTCCTGGAATTTCACTACTGTGGAAATGGTCTCTGTTTCCTCACGAAAGGTTGATACTTTTCCTAAGACCTTGTGGCTGAACCGTAACCAAATGATTCCACCACACAGATCCTGAGGAGAGGGACGTGCTGAGTCCTTAGATAATCCTGTGGGTAGGCTTGCCTGGAGTTGACAACCCCGGCCAGAATGCAAGGAGGGGGTGGTTTAACTGTGAGCACGGTCCAGGCCAGTGTGAAGAAGCCCTTCTCGAGAGACAAAAGCCAAGAACGATGTATCACTGCCAAGTTAAAATCGGGAGCTGTCGGGGTTGTGTTAGTGCTAAAATGGCTTCGCGCTTTTGCTTACAGGAGGAGTAAGCGGGGATGGGTGGGGTGTACGGAATGTTCCTCTTGTCCATGAGCGGGTAGTGCTGCAAACAGTGCGGCATCTTCTTAGTGTGTCCGGGGCCCGGCCCGGCCTTCATCCTTCCCTTTCTGTGCCTCCTCAGACAGCCCTTGGCTGGAGCAGCCTGAAGTCCTCTTGCTGCTCCAGACGGTCATCAACATCCTGCTGCCACCTCGCATCATCAGCACATCCCGCAGCAAGAACTTCATGCTGGAGAGCTCCCCGGCCCACTGCTCCACGCCAGGCGATGCAGGGAAGGACCTGCGCAAGGAAGGCCTGGCCGAGTCCACGAGCCAGGCGGCCTACTTGGGTGAGCGGAAACCTGTTGGGGTTAAGTGGTGTGGTTAGTCCAGTTCCCACTAGTTAGCAGAGCACTTTAAACAAAGCTACAAATGCAGCAGCATCACCTGACCAGGTTTGTTGTTCAGTCGCACAATCAAGTCCGACTCTTTGTGACTCCATAGACCAGATCACGCCAGGCCTTCCGGTCTAACGCCGTCCTCTGAAGTTGGCTCAATTTCATGTTCGTTGCATCGATGACACTGTCTAACCATCTCATCCTCTGCCATCCCCGTCTTCTTTGACCTTCAGTCTTTCCCAGCATCAGGGTCTTCTCCAGTGAGTGCTCCCTTCTCATTGGGTGGCCAAAGTATTTGAGCTTCAGTTTCATTATCTGGCCTTCCAGGGAACAGTCAGGGTTGATTTCTTTTAGGATTGACTGATTTGATCTCCTTGCAGTCCAAGGGACTCTCAAGAGTCTTCTCCAGCACCATAGTTCAAAAGAATCTATTCTTCGGCACTCGGCCTTCCTTATAGTCCAACTTTCGCAGCCATACGTGACTACTGGGAATACCATTGCTTTGACCATGCGGACTTTTGTTGGCAGGGTGATGTCTCTACTTTTTATCATGCTGTTTAGGTTCGCCATCGCTTTCCTCCCAAGGAGCAGGCATCTTTTAATTTCATGGCTGCTGTCACAGTCTGCGGTGATCTGGGATCCCAGGAACGTGAAGTCTGTCACTACTTCCACAACTTCCCCTTCTATTTGCCAAGGAGTGATGGGGCCGGATGCCATGATCTTAATTGTTTTGATGTTGAGCTTCAAGCCCACTTTTGCGCTCTCCTCTTTTATCCTGAGCAAGAGGCTCTTAAGGTCCTCTTCACTTTCTGCCATTAGAGTGGTTTATACCAGGTTTCCCAGCGTATAATGCTACACAGAGCCACATTGCAAGTTTAACGGAGAAATACCTCTCTCTTTATTTGATAAGTACACTTTTGGATAGGAAAGAGTAGGGACAGGATAGAGTACTAACTTACTAGCTAAGGATGGAAGCAGATCTGCCTCATGGTGCCAAGAGAGGACCGCATGTCGTCCCTCTTGATACGTGCAAGGAGAAAGTTCGTCATCATCTGAGGAAGTGTACGGAAGGAAGGGAAATTGTCCCTGAGAACACAATCTACATTTCGAAGGGGACAATGGCAGAAGAGTAAACACAGGAGGAAAGGTCAGGGTGCCCATCTAGCTATCTAGTCTCTCTTGCCACGAAGTCTGGAGGCTGAGGCAGGGACATCATGCCTGGAACTTCCAACAAAAGCAACACAGAAAGAGAAGCAACACTGAAAAGTCCAGGACTCTTCAGCCTTTCCTCCTAGGTTCCTCCAACCCCCTCATCATCTTGGCTGCCTTCCTCTGCACTTTCTCCAGCTCCGCAATGTCCCTTTTGAGATGCAGTGACTGTTTACTTTGTAATATTGTACATTTTAACCTCCTTATAACCAAATCTCTGAATAAATGATTCTTTAAGAGAGTATAAAATGTGAGGGGGAAGTCCGATTGTGCAGGCTATTTCGTAGTATCTCCCTGGGCCTCTTCCCCACCTTCCTCCACTACTGAACAAAGAAGCTTAAGCCAGGCCTCTGAGAGTTCAAACGCCCATCTTTCAAGTGAGCGTTTTTGCTATGAATGGTACAGGAAAGATATTGCCTCTGATTGGAAAGAGAGATCAAGGTGGGACAATGAGTGGGTTGGGTTGCCAACCTCCATGTGCAGGCTGGAGAGCTCCCAGTATTAATATTTATCTCCAGACGATAGAGATCGGTTCCCCTGGAGAAAATGGCTGCTTTGGATGGTGGACACTTATGGACTTGTGCCCTCATGAGCTCCTCCCAAATCCTACCTTCCCCAGGCTCCACCCCTAAAATCTCCAGGTATTCCCCATCCCAGAGCTGGCAACCCTGCAGGAGGGGGGGGGTTCCCCAATGTGATACCCATGGGTACCATGGCAGTTCCCAGCACCTTTGATGGCACCCGCAGGTGTTTTTAGGAGTGAGCAGGGGCAGGTGGGTGTTCTGCCCAGCAAGGCTTCCGATTGGCTATTGGAGATCTGATTGGCTGTGCCAATTTTTGAAAAAGCTGCTTGGGCAGCAGCCGCCACCACAGCACAAGGATCTTCACTGCCTGACTGAAGGTGAAATATTTTTAAACAATATGTTCATTTAAAAGGCATCCCATTGAACGCAGCTTTTGCCTGAAATGGTGTAGAGTTACTGCTAGATTTATGTATGATGCCACTCCCTGGCATTTTGTAGTTGGTTCCGCCTCTTGTGGCAGCCATTTTGTAGTTGGCTCTTCCTCCTGTAGCGGCCTTTTTTTAGCTGCACCCACCACTCTGTGTAAGTATTCCAAAAGTGCCCACAGTCTGAAAAAGGGTGTGGGCCCCTGATAAAGAGGATAAAGTACAGAGAACCAAACTGATGTAAAACTACATAGAGCATAAACAGAACCAAATACAGACTGGGAACTGCAAGACCATTTATCTCCCAAAGAACTAAAAACAGATGAGGAAAGACTCACTGCATACAGTTAGGTATGTATGTATACTGCCCCAGCAGAATATGCAGCTAGCGGTTTGTATTTAGAGCAAATAGTCCTTTACCTTTAAGGGAATGCATGATGGGAAATGTAGTTCAGTAACTCCTCAGGTCAGATGCTCAGAAATAGCACTCCTTATTGGTAGCAGATGGGCTCCTTTTCCTGTAGTTAGCAGAGCCTGCCAAAGTTTTGTTACCCCTTTTCCATGCATTGTTAGAATTCACCCGCACATAGGATTGTGTCTTTTCACCACAAAGTCAAAGCAATGGACTAAGAAAATTCAGGATGCACTCTGTCAGCCATTCACCAAATGGACACGAGTCTATCATCTTTGAATGCATGAGATACCCAATAAAAGTGAAGTTTGGTCTATTTGACTGTGCGTTTAATCACTCTCCACGAGGAGGCTGTCTCACCAGCTGGTCTCTGGCAGGAACAGTGCATGTATATGTTGTGTTGCAGAGTATAGATATGTAAAGCGTTGATTCTTCTTGTTGTCACAGCACCACACTAATTCTTCTGTCATTTGTCTCACTTGTAGCCCTGAAGGTGATCTTAGTCTGCTTTGAGCGTCAACTTGGCAGCCAGTGGTATTGGCTGAGCCTTCAGGTCAAAGAGATGGCTTTGCGGAAAGTGGGAGGCCTGGCCTTGTGGGATTTCCTGGATTTTATTGTCCGCACCCGGATTCCTATCTTTGTGCTCCTTCGACCTTTCATTCAGTGCAAGGTAAATCTCCTTCTGATGCTAAATGTCTCGTTTCCTTGTCAAATGCCATTGCTAAACCTTTATTAAAGAGATGAGGATGTGACGTTTTGCAGAAACAACATCTTGAATCTTGACAGTAAGGAGGAATAGCATATAAAACTTGCAAAGCGGGTTCTCTGCCACTGAGCTATGTCACCTTCCTTAAATACTCAGCAATTTACCTGATGATGCTCTTTGTTCTTCACACCCATTCCAGTTTGGTGTAGTGGTTAGGTGTGTGGACTCTAATCCTGGAGAACCGGGTTTGATTCCCCGCTCCTCCACTCGCAGCTGCTAGATGACCTTGGGCAAGCCATAACAGCAGTTCTTGAAAGAGCTCTCTCAACTCCACCTACCTCACAGGGGGTCTGTTGTACGGAGGGGAAGGGCATGGAATTTGTAAGCCGCTCTGAGACTTCGAGTGAAGGGCGGAGTATAAATCCAATCTCCTCCTCCTCCTCCTCTTCTTCTTCTTCTTTCCTGTCCCCACCAGTTGCTGGCTCAGCCTGCTGAGAATCATGAGGAGATGATGGCCCGCCAACACATCGCTGACCAGCTCGAACGGCGCTTCATTCCCCGTCCTCTGTGCAAGAGCTCCCTTATTGCAGAATTCAACAATGAACTGAAGATCCTCAAGGAAGCCGTGCACAGTGGCTCAGGTGAGGCTGTCCCGGGGAGAAAGGTGGTGGATGGAGGCAAATCCACATGGCCTTTATTGCCAAAAAATATACACCCTGCATCATCTTCTAGTCATACATTAAAAAGTGCTAAAATATCATTTAAAAACCTGACAGTCCTATGGTTCTACACATGAGTACCTAATCTCTCCTTATATATAAAGCTGTTTTGGGGTGAATGTTTGACATGCTCCCACAGCCTTTGGCCTGCTGACCTGTCACTCACAAGGTCTCTCCATCCATTGGTGGCTGTGTCCTGCCCACAGGCGCAGCATGTGCCAAAAATCAAGTCAGAACAGAACTTCACTTCAGCAGAGAAGACGCCTCACTCGGCTGGGGCCCTGCCTTCTAGCCACCTCCTTTCCTGGCCCAGCAGCTCTTCGTGGCTCCACGCAGCTCAGGCTGCCTTGACTGCCTACTTCTCTGGCTCCCACAGGGGCGGGCCCGTCCCTCGCAACCGTCTTCCCGCCATGGCCGCAGTCTTCCTGTGGGAGGGGGAGGGGGCAGCATGGCGGGGGGTGGATGCAGAGGGGGCTGGGGGCTACAAAAATATACAACCGTGAACACTTACTAAACAATAATCAAATTGTGTCTTTATATAAGTATAGTGTATCAATTCCCGAGAAGAGGGAAACAATTAAAAGTCACATAACCTACATGCCAGTTTCTCTCTTCATTGTGACAGTCTCTCATCAAAGGAGCAGACCGCAAACAACCGTAAACCAAAATAATTTCAAATACGCCACCACTGCCTGAATGGTGAGAGATTGTCACAGTGAAGAGGAGGTATCGGCATGCAGGTTCTATGACTTTTAACTGTTGCCCTCTTTACAAAAATTTATACACGATATTTATACAAAGCAGCAATTTGATTATTACTAAGTGTTTTTTTAAATTTATATTCTAATTTATATCCCGCCCTGCCAAAGCAGGCTCAGGGCGGCTTGCACAAACTAAAATACAGATTAAAACCATCAAATCACCAAAACTCATTAAAACAATGCAATATCAAATATCAAAGTGTTCAACGCTTGTATATTTTTTGCGTTTTTGTGACCCCTTGTTCCATGATTCTCTCGTTGCTTTCTTTCATCACCTGGAGGCTGGCCACCCTTACAGAGGGTCATTGACCTCATAAGGCCCTTCCACTTACCCTTTCAGAAGGTCTCCGACTGAAAGAAGATAATCGGGCTCCTCACTCACTTTTTGCTCATTCCCATTAACATAGAAGGGCCAGTAACGTTCTTGCATTCCACCCCACCCCGCTTCCCCAATCTGTTCAGCCTATCAAGGGAAGACCTCCATCAGCACTGTGGGCACGTCCACCTCTGCGTACCGGCTGAGCCTGGCCACGATGTCCCGCTCCAATACTGGCACTGGAACAGTCTGGGAACAAGATAGCGAGCCTTCCCAACAGGCTTCCCAGGATACCCTGAGCCGGACGGACGAGGAGGACGAAGAGAGTAAGTACTCACGCCTGCAAGGGCCCAGTATTTGAATATTGCCCACCTGGAGGCTGGCATCCCTAACTAGCAAGTTGACAGTGTACACTACTGGTTAGGGCCATATTGTGCCCCCCTTTTGCAGCTAGAAGCAAGGTCTAGCATGCCCAGCAGGCAGATCAGGGCAAAGTCAGTAGATGTCCCCAGTCAAACTGGAAACCACAGGGCCCATGCTACTATTTCAACGCTCTATGTTTGTTCTTCTTACAAACGTTGCCTGCAACATCTCAAAGCTGTCTCTCACTGATGGTCGCCACGACTGCAGGCATGGAGACCGGTGCCTCTCCTAAGTGACTACATGGCCCATGTTTTCTTTTGTTTACCTGTGGAACACAATGCAGCAGAAAGTTCTCTGATACACCACCAACTTAAGGCCAAACTAAACATTAGTGTTTTCTGAGAGCTGGGTCCAGACCCAACTCAGGTTCTCCACAGCCTCACAGCAGCTGCAGGTAGCAGCTTCTAAAAAAAGAAAAGAAAGAAGAGCCCAAATGGGCTCAGAAATCCACCGATGGGAGAGGAATGGTTCTTGCCTCCCCCTCCCCAGATGTTTACCCATATTTGCTGCTCCATCTGGAATATTCTGCATTGGGAGAAGCAAACATGGGGAACTAACTCCCCCTCCCCAATGCTCTTTTTCTGTGGGGAAAAGAGCTTGGGGCATGGGGAAGGCAGGAGACTTCCTCTGACCCCCTTTTGGGGTTCTTTTGTTCCCCCCCCCCTTTTAAAGGCTCAATTCTCAGCAGCTATTCTCGGAACCCAATCTTGACTCTTAAAAACCACTAATGTGCCGTTTTGCCCTTGCTCGCCTTTCATCCATGGGTGAAGCTGAGATCGAGGGCTGCACTATTTACGATATTTATTTATTTTGTTCAGTTTTTATCTCGCACTCTCCCTGAGTGGGCTCAGGGTGGCTAACAACAAAGAAAGTAATACCCTGACCTAGATAGCCCAGGCTAGCCCAGTCTTGTCAGACCTCAGAAGCTAAGCAAGTATTTGGACAGGAGACCACCAAGGAATACCAAGGTTGTGATGCAGAGGCAGGCAATGGCAAGCCACCTCTGAATGTCTCTAGCCTGTAAAACCCAATGGGGGTCTCCAGAAGTCAGCTGTGACTTGACAGCAAGATAGATAGATGGATAGACAGACAGATGGATAATAGATAGACGGATAGAAGATAGATAGACGGATGGAAGATAGATAGATAGACAGACAGACAGACAGACAGATAATAGATAGACGGATGGAAGATTGATAGATGATAGGTAGGCAAGATGGATGATAGACGGACGGACGGGTGGATAATAAATAGATGGATGGATGGATGGATGGATGGATAGATGGGTGGATAGATGGGTGGATAGATGGGTGGATAGATGGGTGGATAGATGGGTGGATAGATGGGTGGATAGATGGGTGGATAGATGGGTGGATAGATGGGTGGATAGATGGGTGGATAGATGGGTGGATAGATGGGTGGATAGATGGGTGGATAGATGGGTGGATAGATGGGTGGATAGATGGGTGGATAGATGGGTGGATAGATGGGTGGATAGATGGGTGGATAGATGGGTGGATAGATGGGTGGATAGATGGGTGGATAGATGGGTGGATAGATGGGTGGATAGATGGGTGGATAGATGGGTGGATAGATGGGTGGATAGATGGGTGGATAGATGGGTGGATAGATGGGTGGATAGATGGGTGGATAGATGGGTGGATAGATGGGTGGATAGATGGGTGGATAGATGGGTGGATAGATGGGTGGATAGATGGGTGGATAGATGGGTGGATAGATGGGTGGATAGATGGGTGGATAGATGGGTGGATAGATGGGTGGATAGATAGGTGGATAGATAGGTGGATAATAGATGATAGATAGATGGATAGATTGATGGATGGATGG